CACCATTGGATATTCCTCTACCTGCCAGCGTCACGTGCACACACATTTAGAATTTTTAATAATTTTTTAATGTTTCCCTTCTGAGTGGAACTAATAGAAAGGTAGAATATTATTCTTTAGTTTTAAACATCTAACAATCCTGCACATATCTGAGTTTCAGAACACAGGTGCCCTGTCCTTTCTCAGTCTTCATTCTCTGGGTTAGACAGCCTCAATTCCATCCATCATTTCAGAAAATCATTTTGCTCTGAATAGTTTTCATTTATTATTCCTAACATTTTTACCCTCAAAAAACTGAATAGATTGTTAATTACTGTTGAGCAAAGTGAAGTTTTTGTCTCTCTCATTTTAGTCACTATACTCTTATTTATGCAGCCTAAGATAGAATCCATTCTTTGGGAAAATAACACAAATTATATTGTGATTCATACTGAGTTTACCATTGGCATTAAAACCAGGTGTCTTCTACAAGTGCTGTTACTAAATGATGTCCCCAGTATGGATGTGGGCATTGGGTTTTTGATCCCAAGAGTATAGATTTACATCAATTTTTATTAGATTTAATAATGATAATGATATAGCTTGAAATGAAAATGAAATAATGATATAATTTCTCCATCATCTCAGCCTGTCAATATATTTTTGGATCTGATTCACTTTCTAAACTACTTATTCTCCCTTACAACTTTGTATCATTCATGAATTGGATGAGCGAATACTCAAGTTCTTTATCTAATTCACTGACGATAATGATAACCAGGATGGGGATTAAGCTAGTGTCCTGTGGCATACCATTACGAATCTCTCTCTAGTTGTGTTATAGTCCAATCGGGTATAATTCAACCAGTTAAAAACTCAGTTATGTGTATATTTCTTCATGTTGTCTACAAAGACATATTAGAAATCTTTTGCAAATGAACTGTTGAGGTCCATGTGCATTTTGTTTCCTGCATAAACCTAATCTAATAAGCTATTAAGGTTGGTGCAAAAGTAACTCCGGTTTTAGACCATGAATTTTAAATCATTATAACTAGGTTCAAACACATCTTTATTAATCAAAATAGAAACCATTACAATCAATACATTTTTGCAAATGAGAAATAAGTTTGTTTCTGTAGCATAAAAATCCATGCTTTGGGATTCCTCAAACTCTTGGAAAACATTTTCTGCATCCTGCTGGTTGTGGAAGTGTTTCCCCTGCAAAAAGTTGCCAATATGCTTGAAGAAGTGGTAGGTGGTTGGCGAGAGACCAAATGAGTATGGTGGATAAGGCAAAACTTCGTAGCCCAATTCGTTCAACTTTTGAAGCGTTGGTTGTGGGACATGTGGTCAGGCCTTGTAGTGGAGAAGAATTGGGCCCTTTCTGTTGACCAATGTTGGCTGCAGACATTGAATTTTTCAGTGTATCTCATCAACTTGCTGAGCACACTTCTTGGATATATTAGTTTCACCAGGATTCAGAAAGCTCTAGCTGATCAGTCCGGCAGTAGACCACCAAACAGTGACCATGACCTTTTTTTGCTGCAAGTTTGGCTTTGGAGCTTTTTCTCGGTCCAACCACTGAGCTGGTTGTCACCAGTTGTCGTATAAAATCCACTTTTCTTGGCAGGTCACAATCAGATAGAGAAATGGTTCCTCTTTGTTTCGTACAATAAGAGAAGACAACACTTCAAAATGACAATCCTTTTTTTTTTGGTCATGAGGCACCCACTTATCAAGCTTTTTCACATTTCCAATTTGCTTCAAATGCCAAATAATCATAGAATAGTTGACGTGGAGTTCTTCGGCAACTTCCCGTGTAGTTGTAAGAGGGGCAGCTTTGATGATTGCTCTCAATTGGTTGTTGTTAACTTCCGATGGCTGGCCACTGCGCTCCTTATGTTCAAGGCTCTCATCTCCTTAGCAAAACTTCTTGAACCACCACTGCACTGTACGTTCATTAGTAGTTCCTGGGCCAAATGCGTTGTTGATGGTACCAGTTGTCTCTGCTGCTTTACATCCCATTTTGAACTCAAATAAGAAAATTGCTTGAATTTGCTTTTTGTCTAACATCATTTCCATAGTCTAAAATAAATATAAAATAAAGAGCAAGTAATGTCATTAGCAAAAAAAACATAAAGTGAGAAATGTGCATTAAAATGATGTATAATATAATCACATTTATTTAAGAATGTATTCCAATATCAAATGGCAAATTTCAACAATGCTAAAACTGCAATTGCTTTTGCACTAACCTAATATTAAACTACCTAATAGTAATAAGAAATATACTAAAATGACAATAACAATTTACATTTGTTGAGAGCTTATGTGCTATGCAATATGATATGCATTTTATATGAAATATTTCCTTTATTCCTCCCTATAACCTGAAAGATAAACATTACATTCACATTTTCAAGACGGAAAAACTAAAGCCAAGAGAAATTAAGTTCCAAGAAATTATAATCACTCTGAAATACCTTGTTGCTATGAGCTGAAATAAGTTTTTATTGTTTGTAAGCTAAGAGTACACTTATACTCTTAAAGCGATATTTTATCATGTACTGTATTTTCAAAATAATTTGAAAATCAAAATATCACTTCCTGAAACAACAGTGTTATCCATATTTAAATATCAAATTGCATGAAACATACAGACATTGGTAAAGGAGAATGATTTCCTCATCCTGGAGGAAATTTCTTGCCACTTGTAAAAGCCCGTAAAAAATTCCCCACCCAGCTATTAGATTATTAAGTATGGAATGTCCAATTTCCTTAAGTACTAATTTTGACAGTTGATATCTCTGACATTTCACTTTCACACTTCTTTTTGTTAATTGTGAAGGAACGTCCTCATTCCTTCAAAAGCACATTTTGGCTTGTGATTACCTTTCAAAAATTTCCTTTAGAGCAATTTTCATGAAACGATGGATAAGTCAAAAATTCATGCTATTTTTGAATATGAGTTCTGTCATGGAACCAATGCAGCACAGGCAGCTCAAAATATCAACAAAGTGTTTGGGAAGGATGTGGCTAATGACTGGACAGTACGTTGATGCTTTAAGAAGTTCCGTTCTGGTGATTTTAATCTTGAAAATGATCCATGTGGGTGACCTGAGGCCAAGGTGTATAATGATGACCTGAAAGCTATAGTGAAAGCGAATTCATCTCAACCTATGCATGAATTAGCAGCAAGGTTTGACGTTACTATTCCAACAATATTGGATCATTCGAAAAAAATCAGCAAGGTAAAGAAGTTGGATAGATGGGTACCACGTGAATTGAATGAGCATCAGGAGAGAAATCATCTTGAAACTTGCCTTTCCTTGCTGTCATGACATAAAGGTGAACCATTTCTACACCACATTGTTATATGTGAAGAAAAATGGATTATTTTTGACAATCACAAGAATTTGGCACAATGGTCGGATAAAGATGAAGTGTCAAAACACAGTCCAAAACTGAATATTCGTCAAAAAAACTAATGCTGTCTGTTTGGTGGTCCAGCACTGGTATTATCCACTACAGCTTCATGACACCTGGTCAAGCAATTACAGCAGACATCTACTGCAACCAATTGGATGAAGTGATGAGGATGTTTGTGATTAAGCAGCAGAGATTGTTCAGTAGAGACAGGCCGATCCTCTTGCAAGACCACATGTCACACAAAACAGAGCTGCTCAAACTACAGTAGGTGGACCTGGAAACTCTCTGTCATCCACCATATTCACCAGACCTTGCACCAACTAACTACCACTTCTTCCAGGCTTTGGACCACTTCTTGATGGGAAACATTCAATTCTCAACAAGCTGTGGGAAACGCCTTTTGCAATTTCATCACCACTCACTGTCTAGGCTTCTTCGCTGCTGGGATAAGCAAGCTACTGTTAAGATAGCAAAACTGTCAATAGTTTAGGCATATAATTTGATTAATTTTACTGCTTCTTGTTTGAGATATAATAAACTAAACTTTTGATTCAAAATTGGACATTTCATAGTTAATGAACTAATAGTTCAGGAGTTCTAGTAAGTAACGCATAACCCATTCTAATCTAATGTTTATGATTCCATGAAGTAGATGTTCTCTTCCCCTGAGACTTCAGTGCAAATCTTATTTCCTCTTGCTATTTACTGCCACCAGCTCAGATTATTTAAAGGGAAGCCTCTCCTTAGCCACCAGAACTGAGAGCTCTATTCATGGTTTATTGCCCCATGAAAGGTAGAAAGTACGGAGAAGCTCCAGTTGGAATATGAGAAGAGTATGAGCACTGAGCCATGTGCAACTAAGGAGAATTGTCCTTTAAGAGCATAAAAAATGAAGAAACACTGCCTTCCTAAAGGATTGTTTTATTAACCTTTATCAACTGCTGAGAAACTGGAACATGATGGAATTTTTGAACTTTTCTGTCAGCAGCAAAAGGGTAATGCTTGTTGAGATTGCTGTTTAGCAAAAAACCTGGCCTCTCATTCCAAAAGGTCTCAAATTAACTTCATTCACGGCTGATTAGAGAGCACAAAGATTACAGGGTTTTATTTTATTTTATTATTTTTGGCACCTCTGTGTCATATATAGGTGCAGAATATTTGTTGCACTTGATAGAGAACAATTTATGAATGTTGGTCAATAGCTGGCACACTATTTACTACCACTGAGTTAATGCAGAAAGTTGCAGGAAGATCATTGAGACTGCATTAGATTCTAAATGAAAATGATGAAATTCCACTATTCCCCTGATTTACTCAGTGGAAATGAAAAGCAGTTCTCCTTATTAACAGTTGCTGACGAGAGTGCGAGGTTCTTTTGTTCGGCAGAGGGGAGGGCCGTTGGCCGGGGCCTGCGGTACGCTGCCGCTTCATTTAGGGGCTCCTCCGCAGTCACCAGCTTGTTGCCTTTCCTGGGCATCACTCCCCCGGCTGGCCCGACGCGACGCACCAGTAGCGCAGCAACAATTCCTCTCCGGTTTTTGGGCGCTGCTCTGAGAAGCGTCACCCTTTACACCAGAAAGCTGGCGCACACTATGGGGAAAAAACAAAACAAGAAGAAAGTGGAGGAAGAGGAAGAGGAATATGTGGTGGAAAAAGTTCTCGACCGTCGAGTGGTAAAGGGCAAAGTGGAGTACCTCCTAAAGTGGAAGGATTTCTCGGATGAGGACAACTCGTGGGAGCCAGAAGAGAACCTGGATTGCCCTGACCTCATTGCTGAGCTTCTGCAGTCACAGAAAACAGCACATGAGACAGATAAATCAGAGGGAGGCAAGCGCAAAGCTGATTCTGATTCTGAAGATAAGGGAGAAGAGAGCAAAGCAAAGAAGAAAAAAGAAGAGTCAGAAAAGACACGAGGTTTTGCTCGGGGTTTGGAGCCGGAGCGGATTATTGGAGCTACAGATTCCAGTGGAGAGCTCATGTTTCTGATGAAATGGAAAAATTCTGATGAGGCTGACCTGGTCCCTGCCAAGGAAGCCAATGTCAAGTGCCCACAGGTTCTCATATCCTTCTATGAGGAAAGGCTGACGTGGCATTCCTACCCCTCGGAGGATGATGACAAAAAAGATGACAAGAATTAACTCTGAGTACCAGACCCTGTCACATCTGACTGTGGGTTTCAAGTGGGGAGGGAAGGAGTTTTACTTGTGTTGACACCATAGAGGTGGCTTGAGAAGATGTCCTTTGAAGAGCCAGTATAGTTTCTGTGCCCTGCAGCAGCCCAAAGTGCTTTAAAGCCGTTCGAGCTGTATAGTTTGCACACGCATCCCAGTGGAGGGGAAAGGAGGATAAGTGTTTCAAGGCAACTCATTCTGCACTTTTTTGAGAAAAAAGCAAAGGGCCTTCCTTCTACAAAGGACAAAACTTGTAGAATTGGGTGTGTGGGAGAACAAAAAGATACAGTAGATTTTCAAAGAGCATCTCCACAACCCACAGCCTTCTTCCCAATAGTGTTAACTCTGCATTTTTACAGTGTAGCATGTGTGTAGTTTTTGGCTATTACTGGTGTATTATTTGGGGGTTGGAGGGATGGGGTGGGAAAGAAAGGAGATGAGTTGGATCATTTTGGTTAAAATTTGGGGCCTGATTGGGGAAATGGTGAAATAATGGAAAGAACAGACAACTAATGATTCGCTTCTATGTCCATAATATTCTACCTTTTCAAAAAATGCCATTGGCACCACAAATGAGGACTGTGAGAGACTGTTTAAAAGCTGTGCATGCCTGAAACCTATAAGCCAAGGTGTTCTCTGCCTGAGCTTAATGCTGTTCCCCACAAAGTACTAAGCCAGCTCATAAGTTACCAAAGCTGCCATTTTAGAGATGGAAACTGATTGAAGAGGGGAAAAAATCTTGTATTGGAGAGTATACACTGCAAGATCATTCTGTCCTAGAGGTGCTAATTCCTAAAATTAAACAAGACGACCCTTTCTTTTCCAGTTATGAAGTTATAAATAGCTTATTCATCCAAGCCACTGGCTGAGGTGTTGGGGAAGAGAGTGGTACAGGAGATGGGAGAGTAGGGAAGACAAGAGCCCATGCTCTTAAGGCAGAGAATTCTTGGAGCCTCTCTGGCTTTGTTGTTGTTGTTGTTGTTGTTGTTGTTTGAACTTTGAACTCTAAAACCATTGGTAGCAGGGTTCGGTCACTGACAGCACAAGTTTCATTGAATCAGTTCAAGAGTTGAATGATTTCAAAAGCCCTGGTCTCAGGAGAAGATTGAACTTTCATACTGGGGCAACGGTTCACTGTAAAACACAACAAGCAAAACACATTTTTAAAAAATCCTAAGAATTAAATGATACCCAAAATACTCTGTCTTGAATCACAAGATCCGTCAGTTCTTGACATCATCTAGAGTTGCAACTAGAGCTACATTGTAAAATCTTTTTAGGCATGCGCTAGATTTCTGTGAAAACTTTGTTTAAATGTAAACTTCATACCACACTGTCAGTTTTTGTCTTAATAGAACTATAGATTTATAATCCCCGAAAAAAAAAATACAGTTGCTGACATAGGATCGCTTATTTTTAATCCTGCCAATGAAAACCATTGTTTTTTCCCCCAGTAATAACACACCCTAATGTGTGAAGGTAACGAATAACATACCTGCCTGTGGATATGTCTAAAGGAAATGTTATCTTTAAAAGGTCAAAGGCAAATTTCTATTTCCCAAGCAGCAGCCTTTAGCTTTTTGCATCATAGTGTGGGTTAGGGCTGTAGGCTTTAGAGTCAGACTTCCAGGATTTAAATTTTGGCTCGATTGACTGTGTTATTTTTTCTGCTCTCTGTCTTTATTTTTTTCCTCTGAAAAATGGAGATAATAGTCATATAGCACTTATAAGACTGTTGAAGAATTAAATACGTTAATTTATGTCAAGTGTGTTTAAGTGTGTTAATAGGCACTGTTTAAAGTGCCTATTATCTACTAGGATTGTTTGTTGTTATTGTCACTATTGAAAGGCCACAGAAATTAGTGCTCTAGATCGAAGATCTGGCTTAGATTTACTGTTTGTAACCTATATCATTTTGAGTGAAGCATTTCACCTCTCCTCACTGGGTGCTTAACATATTATCTGGCACCAAGCAAGCCAGGAGAGTGGCTTATCATTAACATCAAATTTTTGTAAGAATCATTTATATATTTATAAATATAAATAGGAAAAAAATTACATTTCTATGAATACAAATATGATTAACTTCTATGTGTTTATTAGTTATGTGTGTGTTTTCCCCTGAATTACCACTTTATAATGCTCATCAGATTTTTTGTTTGTTTTTTAAGATTACTGTATATTTAATTTATAAATTAAAGAGAAAAAATAGTAATATAGACAGGTATAAGTCTTAAGAATATGTATAACAAATGCTTCAATGTAAGTCATCAGTATTTTTTGTTTGTTTGTTTTGTTTTGTTTTATTTCAGAATATTATGAAACACAAACACCTTGGTTACATAAATTGCCTTTGCATTGCCAGAGTCACAGCTACAAGAGTGCCCATACCCTAGAAAGTGTGCCCCGCACGGATTATGTGTGAATTCACCCATTCCTTCCTCACCCCTCCCACCTGCCCTACACCCGATGGATGTTACTTCCATATGTGCACATAACTGTCGTTAGTACCAATTTAATGGGGAGTACATGTGGTGCTTGTTTTCCTTTCTTGTGATTCTTCACTTATGAGAACGGGCTCCAGCTCCATCTAGGATAATACAAGTCTCATTTTTTATTAGCTTTTTTCCATTTCTATTTTCATCTTGATTTGTAGAAATTCATGCACACATGCGCACACATATATACATACATACACACACACACACACACAGAGTCATACATAGCTTACTGATAGGAATACATTCTGAGAAATCTGTCATTAGGAAATTTCATTGTGAGAGTACCATAGAGTGTACTTACACAAACCTAGATGGTCTAGCCTACTGCACACCTACTCTATATATTATGGTCTATTGCCTCTAGGCTACGAGCCTTTACAGCTTGTTATGCAACTGAATACTGTAGGCAATTGTAAAACAATGGCAAGCATTTGTATAAGTAAACATATTTAAACGTGGAAAAGTTACAGTAAATGTATAGTATAAAAGATAAAAGCAGTATACTTATACAGGACACTTACAATGAATTGAGCTTATAGGGCTGAAAGTAGCTGTGAATGAGTCAGAGAGAGAGTGGTGAGTTAAAATTAAGGCCTGGGACCTTAGTATACACTAATGTAGATTTTATGAGCACTGTACACTTAGGCTACACTAAATTTATGAAAAAAATTTTCTTTCTCAGACAATAAATTAGTCTTAGCTTACTATAACTTTTTATTTTATAAACTTTTATTTTTTCTTAACATTTTGGCTCTTTTGTAATTACAGCATAAAACACATGGTACAGCTGTACAAGATATTTTCTTTATACCCTTATTCTATTTTTAATTTTTATATTTTTGCTTTTTAGCCATTTTTGTTAAAACTAAGGCACAAACATGCACATTAACCTAGGCCTACACAGGGTCAGGATGATCAATATCACTGTCTTTCACCTCCACATCTTTTCCCACTGGAAGATCTTCAGGGGCAATAACATGTATGAAGCTCTCATCTCCTATGATAACAATGCCTTCTTCTGGAACACTTCTTCTTGTTCTTCCTGAAGGACCTGCCTGAAGCTGTTTTACAGTTAACTACTTTTGTAAGCAGAAGGAGTACACTCTAAAATAGTGATAACAAGTATAGTAAATCCATAAATCAGTAACATAGGTATTTATTATCATCATCATGTATTATGTATTATACATAATGTATATGCTAGACTTTTATACAAATGGCAGTGCAGATAAGTTTTTTTACACAAGTATTAGCACAAATGCATAAGTAATGTGTTTTGCTATGACGCAATGGCTACAATGTCACTAAGCAATAAGAATTTTTTAGCTCCATTATAATTTTATGAGAACACCATAGTATATGCAGTTCATCGTTGACTGAAGCATCATAATGCCGCACAGGACTATGTGTGGAGCGAGAGAGAAAGAGAGAGAGAGAGAGATCTGGAATGAAGGTTTATGTCCCATTGAAATTCATATAATGAAGCCCTAACAGCCACTGTGGTTATATTTGTAAAGGAGGCCTCTAAGGAAGTAATTAAGGTGAAATGAGGTCATAAGGGTGGCATCTTGATCTGATAGGACTAGTGTCCTTATTACAGATACCAGAGAGCTTGTCCTCTTTTCCACATGAAGACACAGCAATAAGCTAGAAAGAGAGAAGTCACCAGAATCCACCATGCTGGCACCCTGATCTCAGACTTTCAGCCTCTAGAACTGTGAGGAAATAAAATTCTGTCCTTTAAGCCATCCATTCTGTGGTGGTGTTTTATGGCAGCCAAAGAAGACTAATACATTGTAGTGGCCCAAAAACTAGAACCAACCTGAATGCCCTCAATAGGGGACTGGTTGAATATGTTGTCTTTCATTCAAACCATCCCATTTTATGTGACTAATTTTAAAAGTATATTAAGTCTATAATAGATAATGTGGATGAAGTTTTATGAAGTATTTCTAAGTGAGAAAAGCAACATGGAAGATGAATTAATGAGTAAAATAGTGCCCTTCTACATTTGTATGTATATGTCATATTTTTATATGAACAGGGACAAAAATATGAAAACATGCACACCAGTCTTTTAACATTGGTTATCCAGTGGAGGAGGGAGTAAATAATTGAAAAAATTTTATACAGTTTAAAGATTTCTTTTTCTCTCTCTTTCTCTCTCTCTCTCTCTCTCTCTCTCTCTCTCTCATCTATACACGCACACACACATACACACACACACACGCAAAACTCTACTTATGTAAATTCACATAGACGTGTTTATATTAAATATATGTAGACCTATGTACAAAATATACTTGTCAAAACTATGCACATTGCAGGGCATCTTTAGTGTTTTAGTTATTTTTAAATTTTCATTCTATATACTTCAAATTTTTTATAATAAAATTTTTAAACTGTTTTTTGTAACATTTGTCTTAACTCATTTTCTGTTGCTATAACAGAATACCACAGACTGGTTAAA